GGGCTCAGTAGACTGTAAGCCTGGTCCTAGAGAGAGAAGGGCTACGTGGAGGGTCGCAATGAGCCTCTGAAGCTAGCGTAAACCGCCTGGAAGCACGGGACCCACGGAGACAAAGTCGTAGCTCTGCCACAGTACATACACCTCTACCCCGATATAACGCTGTCCTTGGGAGCCAAAAAATCTGACCGCGTTATAGGTGAAACCGCGTTATATCGAACTTGCTTTGATCCACCGGCGTGCACAGCCCCGCCCCCCGGAGCGCTGCTTTACCGCGATATATCCAAATTCGTGTTATATCGGGTTGCGTTATATTTGGGTAGAGGTGTACTAATGAAATTATTCTGGAGGTGACAAATTGCTAGAGTGCAAAAGTATAATGACAAACCTTGAAGTGTGTGCTTACATAGAGCACATTTCAATAGAGAGAAAGCTGTGCTGAATAATGAAAATGGCTTTAAGTTCAAGTAGAAATCCACATTTTTCATTGGGGAAATCAGTTACAGCTGGTCTGAATTTGGCTCCAAGTTGCTTGTGCATCACTGAAACCAAAGATTATGCCAATTGATTTAAAAAGCAAAACAAAATGAGCTCATCTTTAAGTAAGAACTTCCCAGGTAAGCCAGGTTTCCGTCTCTAATGCTTAATACTCTGAGCACCTCTGCTGCAGTGATTTGTTTTAATTAGTATAGGGTACGTCTTCACTTACCGGAGGGTCTGGCGGCAGGCAATCGATGTTCTGGGATCGATTTATCGCGTCTGGTTTAGACGCGATAAATCGATCCCAGATCGATCCCGGAAGTGCTCGCCGTCGACGCCGGTACTCCAGCTCGGCGAGAGGAGTACGCGGCATCGACGGGGGAGCCTCCCTGCCGCGTCTGGACCCGCAGTAAGTTCGGACTAAGGTACTTCGAATTCAATTTGCGTACCTTAGTCTGAAGTGGGGGGTTAGTGGGGATCAGGCCTTAGAGTTAAGTTCCTTTCCTATTGAAAATCCACTTCATTACCTATTTTCTCATCTAATCAAGGTTTATTCCCCTAGGCCGTGCCAAATGCTTTCTGCAAAGCCAACTCATCAGTGAAGCACCAACTTATTTAAGAAAATCTATCATTGGCTATAGATGAGTGCATAAAAAGGATGGGTGATATAATATGGAGTGCTTGTCACGCTGCAATCTGAATGAGAAAGGCACAGAGACTTTCTGAGGTAGCCATGAATAGGAAAACAAACATGAAAGCAAAAGTGTAGCACCATGTTCCACAAAACAGTCAGAGGTTTCAGAGCATTAGTCTGTCCCTCCTTCCTTCTGTGTGAAGTCCCGTTTCTTATGGATCTAAAACATAATTTCTATAGTGTTCCGGCTGTTGTAACTTATCCACAAACCACCAGCAGAATGGGCTTGTGTTTATATTTCTTCTTCCAATGATTGAGGTTTAAATTCTTAAGTAGCAAAGTTTTATTTGTTTGAGTGGTTTTTGCTACAAGTTCTTCATGCATACTTGGCAACGGCTGACTCGTGTTCGGAGCTGTCCTGCTTTCAGAGTTTCTGAGGGAGGAGCACCGACAAACTGCTGCGTGCGTTCGACTGTCGTCAGCCAGAAGCTGTATTTGTTTGCAAAGTAATGGCAGGTTCCTCTGGCACCATTGCATTCAATGAAAGGAGTAGCACGGAAATCCTCAAGGCAAGAGCCGGGTGAGACAAGGGACTGACCTCCGCCTTCTGCGCCAGCTGCAGTGTGCTAGAATGAATATGGTCATTTAATTGAGTTCCAAAAGAAGGAAATAGGCAGTTACATAGGGACTCATGGGATACATTTCTTGCAGTGAACAAAAGGGGGAAATCTAGATTGCTCCCCCATGACACCTGTAGCTACGTCACTTGGGTCGGAGTTACGGGGGAAGCACAAGAATGCAAACCCCGGGTTGAATATAGGATTCTGGTAATCTAACAAAGCAGCTTTTCACTTACAACATGAGCAAATTTGAAAACTGAGAGACAATAAAGAATCTCATAATGCTGTTTTTAGAATCACTTTGCAATCACACTTTAATGAACTACCAGGACATCTCATTGTAGAACGTTTCTGGAAAAAGCGTGGGAGAAGGGGTTAAATCTGTGCTATAGTTTAATTGCAGTGGTGTGGCCATGTTGGTCCCAGGATATTAGAGACACAAGGTGGGTGAGCTAATATCTTTTATTGGATCAACTGCCGTTGATGAGAAAGACAGGTCTTTGGGCTTACAGGTCTGGGAAGAGCTGAAGAAGAGCTGAGCGCAAGCTCGAAAACTTTCTCACACCAAGAGAAGTTGGTCCAGTAAAAGATATTATCTTACCCACCTTGTCTCTCTATAGTTAATTAGCCTTTTTGATGTTTAAAGGAATCAGTTCTTATGGGCCATTACTCTCTTTGCTAGTATGGAAGTGTTCTATTTCTTCCACCCCACCATGAACTTTATCAATACACTTGAGAAGTTAGCAAAATGGCTGAGGTTATTCTAGGTCTGCTGGTAATGCACAAGGAACCCCTTAGGTCAGCTCGTTGTGGAGCTTTCAGTTTCTTGGACACAACTGTTAAAACTAGCAAACTTAGTGGCTGAGTCAAAGATGAACGGCCAATATTAAAACAAGCCTCATACAGTGTGACCGTCTTTGCATTAACAAATCGATTTTTCTCACCATTAGGAACGAGTATCCAATCCACAGGCTGCGCCAGCCCTCGGGGCACTGCGGGATGGTAATGTCCTGGCTGTGTACTGCAATAGCCTGGGAAGGTGCTTCACACACCGAGCAACGACTGATGTACTGTGGGATCTCCAGCCGGCTCACTGGCATCATAGGGATGGGAGCAGTGGTGGAGAGCCAGTAGGATTTGTCATTGCGGCTGGCATAGTAGCACACCTCGTAGATGTTGCAGTAAATAAATGGCATGGTGCTGAAGCGAGGCAAGCAGGAGCCAGCAAAACCTGGGTGGGAATGGAGAGGAGAACAAAGGGCACATCAAGCTGCTGCCCAAAGGCAAGGCTAGTAAAGACCCGATAAGCAAGTGGCAAGTTTCATTGCACCCTCCGTGTCGTATTCCACCTCAGAGTCACACTTCTTACAAAGCCCAGTGAAATCAGTAGGAGTTGTGCAGTGCGTAGGGGGGAGTGGAATTTGGCCTGCCTCATTTGTGACAGAGTCTTTTTGACTTACCGAGATCCTGGTTGTGCGCCTTTTCCTGCCCCTCCACATACAGCAAGCTGTAACCCTCCCAGAGCTTATTCATTCCAAGTGGGCATGGCGGGATCTGCTCCGACTGGCTGTGCTTCACCAAAGTGTATCCAACGCTTACACCCCGACCTGGCATTCCAGGCAAACCAAATGGGCCTGGCTTTCCAGAGACACCTGGGAGAGAAAAGTCAGTCACATGTTGCGAGTACAATGTAAGTTAGCTGACTTTCTGCATCCATCCTTGTGGTTGGGCATTTATGTCACTTCTGTCACAACTAAACGACAACGTAAAGCTCAAGTATTGATGGTTGCCAGGTGATCAAATAGGCCTGGCTGAGTCTCAAAGCCAATCAGTACCCTATGGTACTGACTCACTTTTCCATACCATTAATTTTTGTGTCTCACCCAATCACTGTGGTATGCAGGCACTCACAACTGTAGTTCATAATACAGTAATTCTGCCTTGCCCCTCTGGGTGAGGACCTCCAGCACTCGTTAATTCCCACACTAGTGCAGTAGGTGGTGCTGTTTTATCCTGATGGTACAGAGGTTCAGTAGCTTGTCCCAGGTTATAGAGCTAGTCTGTGGTATAGCCAGGAACAAAATCCAGACACTCTGAGTGTCAGTCAAGCACCAGGATGTACCTCCCATTCACCATCCCACTCCAACAACATTTCTTCTCTCTGACTTACTCCTTTTCAAATTCTACAGTGAATGTCCTGTTCCTGTGCTTCCAAACCCTCCTGATGACTCCCTGTTTATTACAGCTAGAACGGTGTCCATCATCTTATACAATGAATCATCAGTAAGGCTAAGATTTTTGTCATGGATATTTTTAGTAAAAGTCACGGATAGGTCACAGGCAATAAAGAAAAATTCACAGAAGTTCCTGACTTGTCGGTGACTTTTACTAAAAATATCCCTGACAAAATGGGGAGCTGTGGAGTCCCCACACCTCCAACAGCAACTAGGCAGCTGCGGAGGGCCCGGCTAAGAGATCTGGGGGCCTCCCCCACCTGTGGGGGCTTGGAGCTTCAGGCTTCCCACCACCCGGGGTGGCCAGGAGCTGCAGGGGAGCCCCTACTTCCCACAAGCTCAGCGGCTTGGGGCTCCGGAGGGCCCCTGCCGCCCATACCCAACAGCTGCCGGGCCACCGTGGACGGTGGGGGGACCGTACAGCTCCCTGCCGCTGTGGGCTGAAGTCACAGAAGTCTCTGGAAGTCACGGATTCCTTGACCTCTGTGACAAAATTGTAGCCTTAATCATCAGTAGTGACAGATAGCAATTGCATACTCTAGAGCATGCTGCAGTGGATGAGTTTACTCCCAACTGTCTCACTAAAGGTGAAATTCATATTAATGAAGACACAAGTTCTTGGGCACCACATAGGTCCTTCTTTTTTAAGTCAATAATGTGTAATTTCTGTGATGTCTGAGGCCTTGGGCAGCATCACTGCATTAGGAGGCCATCTGGAATCTTGCTGATTGAACACTCATAGAATATCAAAAGAACAAATTAAAGAATAAAATTACCTTCCAATCCTGGTAGCCCTGGAATACCTGGGGTTCCTGGATCCCCAACTATGCCATCTGACCCCGGTAAACCAGGACGTCCCACCTGACCTGATCTGCCTGACAGACCTTTTGGACCTGTAATTAAATGTAATGATTGTTATTTAATTTGCTTCTGACATCAAAACTTTCACTCCTGGCATCAACAGACGGATGTGTCATGATTAGCAATGCTGAGGGCTTAAACTTAACAATTCTTGTTACAAACAAATAGCTTGGCACCATGATTCAATATGGCCTACGACCTGATGCGTATAACATGTTCAGGGATTACAAATGAACAGAAGAAACAGTGTTCAGATCTGGGTCAGGCTTAGGCTCTGGTGGATTTGAGTTTGAAGCCAAAGCAGCACTTGGATTCAGGTTTGGATCTGATACCAGTAAAACGTCGTGATTATTTTCATCTGATCTCTCAAGATTTCTGCCATTGTAAACAGAGAAAAGATTACCTGGTCTCAGAACCGACTGCCATCATTTTGGGGCTAAAACCTTACAGAAGCAGCTAGCCTTGGTTGATTTCAGCCACATTCAAATCAGAAAATGGGCCTCCTCCAATTTTGGATCTCATATGATCCAAAGTTACATAATGGCAAGTTTAGATCCATGGATTTGCATCTAAATTCCCCTCTCCCACCTGCTCTACAATTCAATGGGATTAGCACTTGAAGTCTCTGTTTAATATTGTCATTTTGTGCTTTAGACCAGTGTGCAGGGGAAAGAGCAGACACCAGCTGGGATTCTGTCTCTCCAAGAGCTTGCACATAGTGAGAAATTGTGTTCATATTTAACATTAAGTTGTAATTATTTCCCCAAATGACAAGGAACATTCAGCATTGCAGTGGTGGGTATGTAGGACCTGATCCTGCACCCACTGAAGTCAATGGCAAAATTACAACAGTGCAAAATTAGGTTCCTAAAGTATTATAGTATTTCATGTTGACACAATCCCAATAATTCTCCATGATGAATCATTCTCAGACTGATTAGATCTGCTGCCAGATCTGCGTTGCCATCATGCCAACTGCATCATGACTGCTGCTTTCAATTCCATGAACCTAATGCAAAAGAGGCTATAAAATCCCGTGAACATAATGTACAAGAAAATATTTCTAGCCAGGTCTAATAAAAAAAAAAAAAAAAAAAGAATAGATACGCTGTGGTCATTTCCATTACAAAGCTTCTGAAGAAAAGCATATGAATTTTGACAGCACAATTTACAAAGCAGCTTCCTGTGAATGCAAGAAGTCCAACGTTTCAGTTTCACTTATTTGATGCGGTGCTCTTTACCTTGCTGCCCATCTGGTCCCTGAAATCCACGATCTCCAGCATAGCCAGGGACACCATCAATTCCTGGCAGACCAAGTAGCCCTGGAGGAACTATGACTTCTTCTGGTTTTGGTACTAGGCCTGGAGCGCCTGGTAGGCCTGGGAAACCTGTACACATCACAAATGGCACCATAAGCAACACACATAAAGTGCACAGATAGGATGATCTACTAATACAAGGATGTGGTTCAACAAATTGAGAAGGCCCTGTATGTTAGCACTGGGTATATTCCCATGACTTCCCCAGCTCTTGTTAAAAGTCCCTAATTTCCCTAAGTCCCAGCCCCTTTTTTATTTTTTTTGGCTACATATACAGGTTGTTGGGGATCTGGGGGAGAAACAGTAATCCTCCCCCCACCCCCCAGCAGGAAAGACACAGAGATTGATAGAAAGATCAACACAGAAACAGATAGAGTTCCAATTTCTGCAAGCAGTTGTCTCCACAGAGAAAACACTAAAGAAGATACATTTTAAGTAACAAAGTTGTGAAGACTGGTTCCCAACTTCCTGAAAGTCCGGGCGTGTTTGGAGCTGAGTTGCTGGTTTATGCCCATTCCCATTTAAAAGTCACCAAAAGCTCAGGCTTTATATTTGGGTGGAAAAAAGGAACGAAACCCAAAATAACAGAAGCCCGCTAACTGTGCTCCCCCACCTTTCACCCCACAAGCTGTTTGCAAATGCAGTACAGCTCTCCAAGTCATCCTGTGCTTACCTCGACGACCAGTTTCACCTTTCAGACCAGAAATTCCAGGGTCCCCGGGAAGCCCATCTTTACCTGGCATCCCCATAAGGCCTGGCTCAGCCTTCACACCTGAGAAGATACAGAGCAACGAGTAATGGACCTTGAAAACGAATCCCTGAGTGAAATACTGGCAGATGCACCAGTGGCAGAGGTGTGGTTCTAAACTACATAGTCACACCCTTGTGTCAATTCTGATTCCCAGAATCGACTGACACAGCCGCAGGGCAGCTTTGTGAGAGTCTCCACTGTAACATTATTAGCAGGGAATCTTACACTTAATCTGAAATCATTACAAACATCATTCCCTCTTGTGGAAAAACCCCTGGGAGGGGGTTCTGGAGAGGAGGTATCTTCCCCATGTGAAATTCCTCACTGACAACCCCCAGGGGGCAGGGTTTGCTCTCACAAATAGGCTCTGGAGCCATCCCACGAACCCAGAGAACCTGCCAGAGGCCTTGTGCCCTCACAGCAGCTTTGATCTCCAGTGTCCTTCCTTGTCTGGCTCCCAAGCTCTATAGCTCCTGTAGAACCAAGCTTCCTACTGGGGAGGACCAGAGGAAGAGTGATGTGCTCCCCCACTGGCCCTGCCTGTACAGACTGACTCCCCACAGACCACTCTGTCCCTGGCCCCTCATGGATCCCCAAGTCCATGGTGTGGCCGAGGCAAGGCCCAGAGGATGTGTGGATGGGTAGGAGAGAGCTGTGGCAGCGGCTTTTCCTGGCCCACAGAAGAGGGGAGATCTGTACGTGGATCTGGGGATAGGCATCCCAGACAGCAGCAGCAAACAACGAGCATAGTATTCCTGTCTGTGGACAGCTGTTACCTAAAATAATGAAGAGAAGTGAAAAAATGCAAGGTGGGATTTTCAAGAGTGCTCAGGGCTGGCTGGCCTAACGTCGCTCCATCACTGTAGGCGAAAATGGAGTGCTTTGGAGAAACCTATCTTCAGCGTTCACAGAACAGAAAACAAATCCCAGAGTGCCACACACCTCCATCAGACCTGATTTCACAGCTATCATGCTCACAACATGTGACAGCTCTTTATACTCCCAGGGGACAGCTTTAAAGCACTGTACAAAAATACCTTTGAGTCCTGAAGCTCCTGGAATTCCAGGTGGACCGGGGAGTCCCATGTCACCCTTTATGCCTGGCAAACCAGGAACTCCAGGGAGACCTGGAAGGCCAGTATCACCTTGATTGGAGGCTGGGCCAGAGAGCCCTCGAGGACCTGGAGGGCCTGGGGGGCCTAGGAACAAAATGGGTGAGAAAAATCCGTTTCTGTAACAGACAGAATGCTGCCATTATCCTCAGCTGGCCACCCTATGGCATACTCATTCATTCATTCTTTGGCTGCATGGGAGCAAGGTTTCCAGGGTGAGGGATGTCCTATGGACATAAAAAATATCATTTCCCCTTCATAACGGCCAGCTCAGCAGGCCAGGAGGAGGATTTGCTACAAACTATTGTGTTCTAGGTCCAATCTCTATTTCTTTTGGTTCCCCAACTGCCAGCGAAGGGAGTTCGCATCCCTTCACACTGCGAGCGCTGGTGAGTCACACTGCTCTGTGATTTATCCGAGCATGTACAATGATGCTCTTTGGGGCAGGGACCGTCTGTTTGTTCTGTGGTTGTACAGCACCGAGCACAGTGAGGGCCTAGTCCATGAGTGGGGCTCCCGGGCACTACCGTAGTACAAATAAAAAAGTAACAACGGGAATGATGATGAAATCTCAATAAAATAATTAAATCATACTAGTGATTAATGAGAAATCATTATTTTGCACTTATATTGCCACCTTTCACCCAAGGAGCTCAAAGCATTTACAAAGTTGGATAAGCACAGTATTATTATCCCCATTTTACATCGGGGGAAACTGAGGCATAGTGCAATAAAACCCATTTACTCCAGGTCAGTGGCAGAGCAAAGACCAGAGAACCCAGACCTCTTGATTCCCAATCCCTGCTCTAAACACCAGATTAGATTGACTGACTGCTCATAAAATCCAATTTCCCCTTCTCCGCTGTTCACAGGAAATGAATGGCAGTCAACCTTGCTATTTCCTCTGTTAGAGCATATAACACAAATAAGCTACACTAAGGAGGCTCTCATCTCCATACCTGGATTCCCATCCACTCCAGGACGGCCAGGATCACCACGCCTCCCAGGTATATTTGAAGGAAGAGAGATGCCAGGAGGCCCTGGTAAACCGGGCAGACCCAAAGTACCTGGAGGACCTAGAATTACAGATGAAAATTGAAAAAAAACCAGGAAATGCCTGCATCCCTATTGTGATCATCAGGGATGATCCACGTGGACAGTGTAACATCAATATGGGTAGAATTAAGGGGTACGGGATATTATCCCAAACAACGCCCCATCCCCATCCAGGGAAGGAACAAACCCCCTTTCTCATTAAGTGAGAGCACCACGAGAGAACTATAAAACTAGGACCAACTATTGACTCAGTCATTTGTCGTACATTAGACCATGCCATACCTTTACTTTGTGTTTACAAATCTACAAACCAATGACCCCTTCACATCTTTATGACTGTGAATTTCCATTATTAAACTACACTGACCCTACATATACTCCCAGCTGCCCCAAGTCTAGGTACATTCTATTAGTCAATACAATTCATCTGCTTCTGCAGTCGTTACTATTTACCCATGTCTCCTGATGATCCTTTCTGCCCAGGGAGTCCTGGGGCTCCTAGGCCAATGCCTGGGGAACCTTCTTCACCCTTAGGACCTGGAAGCCCTGCAGGGCCGTTCAGTCCAGCTTCACTCAGACCTAATCAAACATGTTTAAAGAGGACAGAGGAGCCTTTTAAAACTGCTTGCTGTAAGTTTGTTTGCTTGTTCAGTCAATATACAGTGTTAGCCACCCACCCCATAGCTGCTGGAGTTCAGAGAAATCACTGGGGCTGAATCTGGTCCCAACTCCAGTCCCTTATATGCTGCTCTGGTGGTGCACAGTGGATGTGAACATGACGCAAGGAGCTGGGGAAGAATTATCCCAACCTAAGAGCAGCATAGCCCTATGCTACTCCTTTCATGAGCCCTGGTGTAAGGATGTGCCCATGGTGCTTGGTGCAACAAGGATTCTGGGTTCCAGCGAAGCCCATAGTCAGCTTGGGAAAGTCAATTTTGCCTCCCACCCTCTGGATTGTGGCTTCTGTGCCGCTCCTCTCAGGAGACACAATACAGAGTTGAACCCGCTGTTCAAAAGACTTTGGTTTCCAAGATGGAGGGGTCAATCAGCATTCGCTGCTCAAGAAGATTTGGAGTGAAGCATGAGGTGCTGCAGGACAGAGGCAGGGCTCTGGGAGATGCTTTCCATGGTGTGCTTTGCAAGAGGCAATACCATATAGTCTTTCCATTCTCACAGATATGAAAATCAGAAAACAAATGCAAATCGTTTGAGTGCTTCAGAAAATATGATCATTGGTTTTATTTCCCAAAAATAAATCAGAGAAACATGGAGAGCACTAGAGAGATTTTTATGAACTAGAATTTTTATGTTCAGTCTTAATACTGTTTGCGTCCAGTAATGCCTGTGTTTCTTTCATTTATCCAGTTACAATTTAAAGTTTACAAATCTGACGTTTCTGTTACCATTTTAAAAACGTTCAGACTTTGAGGATGATTCTGACTAGATATACCTCTCTCTCCAAATGTCTTTCCCCATCTCTTTGGATTTGTCAAAACATTGTTGAGAAAAAAAGAAATATTAAAATTACCATCAAAATATGAAAATCCAGCAGAACATTCCTAATTGCAGCCTAAGGGCCTGGTGCTCTTACTCATGTGAGGAAGCCCACAGACCTCAGTGATACTACTCTCATGAACGAGGGCTACAAGCACAGGCTCAGTGTAATTGAGATCTATGCGGCAACTTGTCATCTTTAAGCCAAAACCCAACCAAACATCCAATTGTTGTCTGGGTAAAATCAGAGTAACGGAAATGAGAGATAGAGCAGGCCTTTCATCAAATTAACTTCCTAGCGGTTACAGGCTGGTTCAGGTGTTGAGGCAGAACCTACAACCCCAATGGCATCTGCAGAAAACATCCTGGTCTCGTTTTCATGTGTGAAACCCCACCGAATTCAGTTCTAATGCTTCATTATTGAAGCAGAATTTGGTCCCACACATTTAGTAAGAATACTGACACTAGATGCACAATGTGGATTCCTTGTTACTTCTATGAAATCCAGAACATGACTAAAATGGAGCCATTTTGTGACGAACTATGTCATCACTCAAACCCCACCCTCTAAATATACCACAGCAGCAATTTTTTACCTGGTGTTCCAGGTGACCCTTTTGTGCCTGGCAAGCCGTTCAGACCATTTAAACCAGGAAATCCAGGGAATCCTGAGGAGACATTATAGAAGCTTGAATGGACAATCAATAGGTTGTAGCCTATAAGAAGCACCTAATCTGAAGGAAATGTATAAGACAAGGAGGCTCTGTGCATGCGTTTACTGCTTCTGGAGACCAGTGCAAGTAAGATTTTCCTCTAGACACCTCACATGAATGCCAGAAGAGGAGCTTTTCCCATAGGAGCTTGCTTTTATAGTTTTACCTGCAACAAACCTTACTATGACCCAAACCTCAACAATCAGATAAGAGCCTCTCCCTTTTCAGATATCATTCTGATGTTTTTGAGCAGCTGGAGCCAACATTGACACCACCAAGAAATGAGCTGCAGTTACTAATGCACACCAGCCCAAGCACAGTAGACTTCGACTGTGCTGTCTGCTATATCCTGCCCAGCCAATACACTAGTTTATTGATCTGGCTTTTTCCCCAGCTGGAAAGTTAAAGAAAGAGGCACCTTTTGGCCCTGCTATCCCAGACAGTCCGATGAATCCTACAGGTCCAGGCTGCCCTGGCGAACCTGGGAGACCTGCATTTCCTCGCAACCCGGCAATTCCAGGGGGGCCTGAAAACAAGCGACAAAATGACAAGGGATGGACTTTCACACATGCACACACACTGTTGAGCGCAAGCATTGGACAACTCTGTTTTACAATTTGCAGTCTTTCACCCTCTCATGGCAATGTAAAGTAGAAGTGCTGGATGAGCAAACTGCTATCTAGCCAAAGCAAATCCAAAAAGCACACTCTCTAGTATCACATATCATCAGAACAACTAGCTGTATAAGATTTATCAAACAATTTATCTGATTAATTTCACTATTTTTTCTCATATAAATTATCCAACAAATGTATTTTTCATCATCTGCCCGGATTATAGACTTGGGTAAATAATTCACAGATATATACACTGGTTATATATATATTGTCAGTCGTGACAATGGCTGGAGAACCAGCCATGGAGAGCCTGCTGTAAATTACCGTCTGTAACTCAGATCAGGGATCATTCGAACCCCAGCAGCAGCCCAGGATCCAGGAGGTGCAGAGATGGCTAAAACTCAGCTTTCCTCCTCCCCTTTCCCTTTGGCTATATCTTCTGTGCTATGCTACCCAGGCGTTACAATGCAGGATCTGCCTCTAGGTTTATCACTATAGAATGTGGTCCCGCATTTCAGACCAAGAATAGAAGAAAATACAGAGTGCCAGATGACATTGTGTCTGTTACAAAAGGTCTTTTTTATTTCTCTATTAAGATGGGGCCGCCCTATCACAAGCAATACAAGAACAAAAACTAAAACAACACAGCAGTATATCTTTGGCCATCCTACAAACCTCACTGGTTAGATGCTATGCTCACTGCCATACCTGGTGGTCCTTCTCGGCCCAGGTCACCTGGGATACCTTTAGGCCCATCCATGCCAGTGCTTCCTGGGTATCCTGGTTCACCCTTTGGCCCATCTTTTCCCCTCTCACCTTAAATGATAAGTGTGAAAATCATGTTAGATCATATCACAGACCACAGACCATACCATCATGTATCTGTTATCTAAGGGTTGGGCATGAACTAACAATTCTGCTGTGCAATGCTATGGCCATTACAGTGTACTATAGGATATTGCTGTTATAATCTCCTGATATCCCTTGTGAGGTCAAGGGATGAGCAGCAATATCCTATGAAGCAGGCTACTGGCCTTTTACAGAACTTTTGCAACCAATCACAGGTCACTGCTGAGTACTAGGAATAAAAAAAAAAGGAAGAGAGAGACAGGAAGGCCCTTTCTACTATCAAGAAGTCACAGTAATTTCTGTATCACTATGGCTCAGTGGGTGACTCTCTCCCCACTGGGTCAGAAAGTTAGAGAGTCTCATTTTAACTGTTTGTGCTCAGAATTTCTGAAAATCAGGTTCTATAAATTCTAACTTCATAACAAGACTTTGCGATCACTGGTGTCCAATGCTAGGTAGGTGCTGCATTTCAGATGAGACATTTAATCAACATCAATTTCTGCCCATTCCTAGAAACTGTGCAGGGGGAAGTTAATGATCCCATGGCTTTTTTTAAGAAAAAAAGTGTCCCAGCATCATTCCCCCTTTCAGTTAAACCAGTTCATAGTCTTAGGTTACACATCACCAAATCTTAGTGGCATAACAGCTACTCTGTTTGCATTGCAGACATTATCTCAGTGCTCTGTATTGCACTTTGGTTGAGATCCTTTTAGAAGAGGTGCTATGATATATTTAAAATAACTTGCCCAAACTCATAGGGTAAATCAGCAGGAAAGGTGACTTTCTGTCCACTTCTCTAACCATAAGGCTACACGGCTTCTTCTCTCTAATCTGGCAGAAAAACTATACTAGAGAAAGGCCTGAAGAAAATGAGAAGTATATGCATTTCCTGATGATGCTGCACCAAAGGCCTCTGAACAGGGGCCTGGACACTGCTATCAGGGTGCCAGAGACTGGGTGCTCTGGAACCTACAGAATATGAGAAGCTAGGTGGGACCTGAGGGTTGGGGTTGAGATTAGGATTTTGGCTGGTTTTGGGAGCGTTTAGTATTTTTCAGGCTCAGGCATGGGCCAGCTTCTAGTCCCCACATCTCTTATCTGCACGAGAAGACTCAATAAATGTATTCAGATAGTAAAATCACAGGCCTGTGCAGCAATGCTCAAGAATAAGCCCTGCAGCTTTCATTCCAGAAATTCATAACCATCAAGGGTTACCTTACCTGGGAATCCACGGTCCCCTCGTTCTCCTTTATCTCCTAACCCACCAGAAATTCCAAGTGATTCCCCTGGGTCACCTGGTAGAAGTCAAGAAAGGGACATTTTGATCTCTGGACTTGATTGTGCTAATAGACCATTCTGTAATTAACCCATTCACTCCTAAATTGTAGCTTTTACGTGTTGCTTACTAACCTTTCTCCTGAAAATACACTTTTGCTACAGTTCAAATCCACAGACTCAACAAAGGCAAAACAAATTACCTGCCTGGGGTAAAATAAATCCTTTTAACAATATTTGCATCAGCTTTAGATGCAGAGCTATGCAATGGTCCAATAAGCCACATATTAGATCACTGGTAACACCTAACTTTTCTCCTAGCTTCTAACTTCATAGCTTCTATTTATTTATACAATTGATACAGGATTATTTTCTAGATCTCTGGATGTATCTGGTATTGTGCTATGGAGAGAAGGATCAAAGGCGTGTTTGCTATTTAAGCATCAAATTCCCACTGAATTCCCATTGAATTCCAATGGGAGTTGGGAGCCTAATTCCTTTGAAAACCCCAGCCTATATGCATATGTAGGTAGGTGGTTAAAACAAAGAGCACCATCTACTGGCACATAAGAGCATGTGGCATTGTTCATTGCTTTATGGTCCACTGCAAAAAGTTTCCTGACTGCATCTCTTAAAACAACCAGAGCAGGGGACATTTGAATAGCGCTTCCTCTGTCTGCATTGTGATTCTCAGTGAACTAAATGCATTTAAACAACAGAGGGAGGAATACACAGAGCAGATTTCAAGCGGATTTACCTCAGAAGATTTCTGGTAGCCAGTGACTCATCCAGCCACCCATCCCTGTATTTTAAGGGATGTCCCCTATTTGCTATGAGAGCTGCTCAGAATATTTACATCCAAGCAAATAAAAAACTGGCAACTTTTTTCCTCACAGTCTCTCACCCACTCTCTTCTGCTGGATCACACTCTGGAAAAGGCCTGGAAACTGGAAATCAATTTCTTACCCTTTGGACCACGGAAACCACCAGTCCCTGGATACCCTGGTGCTCCTGAGATACCCTCTGAACCCTGGAAAAAAAATAATATACAATTATCCTCATACCTACTGCCTGCAGCCTGGGTTGTGCTGATAGCAGTGAATTGCTCCCCAACAGATATAACAAAAATCTGTCTGGGAAAAAAGAAAATTATGTTTTTCATTTATCAGTGCCAGCTATTACCAGAGGAGAGCTGATTTTATTGCTGAGGTGGTGCGGTAAGCAAAAGTACTACAAGCCTCTGCTGTTCTGATACAGTACGCGGGATTTTTCTAAGTGCACTCAGAATGGAAGATGCATATTTACACTTTCTCCTGGAAATCCGGGTAATCCTATGATTCCAGCCAGTCCTTTCTGTCCTGGCAAGCCAGGCGGTCCAGGCAGACCTGGGAATCCTGCATCACCAGGTAGTCCTCTATCTGTGGCTGGCGACCCTCGTGAACCAGGAAGACCAGGTTGTCCAAGGTTTCCAGGGAATCCTTTATCACCTAAATTTATACGGAAAAGAAAAATGTGTTGCTACTTCATCATAAAGACATTCAGCCCAGTCAAGAAGCTGATTCTTCAATGCTCCCTGCAAGGAAGGGGAGGAGATTTAATTATTTCTGCCATAAAGAAGCACAGCTTTGAAGAGCTACTCTTGATTCAAATTCAGAGTTGCTGTGTGGAAAATCTTTGTAGAATCTGAAAGTAACAATACTGCAGGCTGCTAAATGGACAAAACATCCTCTGCCCAGAGTAAGCAGAATTACTGGATGGTTAGTGGCGGCAACTTTCATTTGGAACGTATTCTAATGCTGATAAATACCTCTAGGTCCAGGGAATCCTCTCAGTCCAGCTGACCCAGGATCGCCTTTGTCTCCCTTCAATACCAATGCCAATTCTGGAGGCCTAAGAACCAGGAGTCCAGGGGGCCCTTGATCACCCCGGTCACCTGAAGACGTAAGAGAATTAAGCTGTACGAGAGAAGGGTCTCTTAAAAGAAGAATGTTTAAACACAGAGGCCTGGATTTCAGAGCTGCGGACCACCTGCGACTCCCACTGAAGCCATTTGAGCTGTAGGTGCTCAGCATCTTTGAAAACCAGGCCACAGCTACTTTACACCTGAATAGAGAATACTCTGGCAATGAAAAAACGGAAGCAGTTCTCCTCCCTTGCTGCTCTTGAGCCTAGGGTGACCAGTGAAAAATCAGGACGTGGGGTGGACGGTAATAGGATCCTATATAAGACAAAAACCCTAATATCAGGATGGTCCCAATAACACTGGGGTATCTGGTCACCCTACTTGGGCCCCCTGCTGCAGCAACCCAGTAATTTAGTCACATTTCTTTTTCAGAGCTCACCTTTTAGACCAGTGGGTCCAGAATATCCAATATTTCCTTCCCTTCCAGCTGACCCAGGAATTCCTTTCAGCCCACTCACCCCAGGGATACCAGACAGGCCTGGCATGCCAGGAAAGCCAATCAACCCGGGAGGTCCCTTTTCACCTGTTTGGAAAGAAGTTGTAAAACAAAGCGAGAAATTGAGTCTTTACAGGTATTTTCCATACAAATAGAAGTGGAAGCTGGGAGCAAGGTGGGTACGGCGTATTGTGCAAACCCAGGCAGTGAAAAATCCTAAAGCACCAACGTAGGAGGGTTCTGCTAGATGTCTCCATTCCTGTAGTAAGCCTCTGTTCACCACCACTTACTCGCTAGCTTCCAGTTCACCATCAAGGGTCTATTCCTGTTCCCACTACAGCACACAATTCCAACTGATCCAATGGGAGCAGCATGTGATTTCAAATCACTACTGACTTTCCTCGTAAAATAACCTATAGCAATGTCGGCTCTAAATGGCTGTTTTGAGTTTTACTTCCCTGCCAGTTTGTGCTTCGTTTTCTCTTCCCTATGATGTTTCCCAAGCTCTTTGTTCTCTCACCATCTATAGTTTCCCCCAATCCCAATCCCACACTGACTTTTCTGATTCTATACCTATCCCTATGGACTAAGGATCATCTCTTGGCCAGATTCGGGGCTCCCATGTGGAATTACAATGTCTGACTGCTCAACTAAGACACTGCTCCCTATTGAGGGCAAATCTCACTACATCCATCCCCAATGTAGTTCCGTCCTCCCCACCAAGGGGTCACCTGTCTCCCCAGAGAGAATGACAGAGTTAGTCTCTAAGGTGCCACAAGGACTCCTCGTTGTTTTTGCTGATACAGAGTAACAGGGCTACCACTCTGAAACCAGTCAAGAACTTGCCACTCTCCCATTAGGCTGTGATCAGATAAAAAAAGTACTGGGTGACTGGCACCTTAAATAATTTTTATCTTTCAAGACAAAAGGCAATACAACATACAACACTTTGGTATTCCTGAAATCCTTTCTCCATTATCTATTTCTGATATTTCTGTTGTGTCAATTTACCTCAGTATACTTAACGTGTTAAAAAAACGTAATAACTTCAGAAGGGTTAACTTCTTCAATGTGAATATTAAATGCTATTATAGACACCTTCTGCTGACAATGACACCAATTTAGATAGTGGTTTCTATGTGGTGAACCCTAGGAATTGAACCGATATATCCTTTGGCAGAGTCCAATGCAGCTTTTAATTACCAACCCAATCTGCATTCACATCAGCAATCTATCAGTGAAACGAATGGATCTGAACACAACTTTCAGTCTCTTCCAACAAGTAGGGTCTAAAATCATCATTCATGTTACTTTAGCTGTGCATCTGAATCCAGTCCTGCGAGACCATTTCCTAATTTATACAATTACCTTTTGCTCCAGAGAAACCTGGACGTCCATCTCTACCCAAAGGCCCAGGTGATCCTGGGAATCCTCTGTCCCCAAGTGGTCCTGGAAAACCATCTAGGCCTGGGAAGCCTTTCATACCAGCAGGGCCCGGTGGACCTGCATCGCCAGTTGGTCCTTTGCCTCCAGGAAGTCCTGGATCAATACAAGCAAACTCAATAGCTTTTGTCATACAAGCTTCTGGACAGTTTGGCGAACGGTTCAGCATGTTCTTTAAATGTAGCTTGTTTTTAATATGAAAGCGGGACCTCAAAATGATGGCACATGCAGCCTTCTAGCAGGCAGAACGTTTAGATAGTCAAAAACATTAGTCATCCAGCCATAAGAGACCTGCCTACGTCACTTCAAAACCAGCAACACGGAGACCCTTTGAATTATTCTCCTCCTCCACTTTATCAGGCATTAAGTGCAGAGCAGCAGCAGGTCTTGCCTTTTAACTTCAAGGCAGCAAACCAGAGCATGGGATAAGGAGCATTAATAATGTTAACTTCCAGTCCCTACCACATCATCTTGGTCAACCAAAGGGGTCAACTGAAGAGTGGCCTGTTCATTCTGCTGTTAAGGTGCTACTTCTTAAAAGTCAGATCGGTTAGTAATTAAGGGAATGGGCTGCTGAATGTGTTATGATAAAAGCATCTCCAGGGTTAATGCTGTTGAAACCATTTGTGCACAATTTAGTCTCTACATATGTCAGAATGTTTCTGGCTGCACCTTGGTAAACATTTAATTCAGAAAAAAAAACAAGGTAAAGGCTTGAACCATTGAAAAAGGGCATGCTCAGCTACAACGTTAAAAAGAAAAAAATCAGGTAGCTTCTGAGAAATGGCACGTAAAGCAGAAATATCAGATGGGCGAGCTTTTAGCATTTAAAGCTATAACCTGATTTTTTAAACATAAAATGCAATATCTGCATAATTAAAGAAGAAAAAGACAACACATGCTTGAAGTCTAAGAATATTAAAGACTTTTCCTCATGGGCTTTGTTCTTTGTTACCATCTGAGCATACTCGATACAATGGTTCTTTGCTCTCCGGTATGGTTAAAATAAGGGGTGCAACCTATGGTCAATGCAATTCTTGTAGCATTAAAAACTAGGTAGTTAGTTCATGACCTTTTATGCTACAGCACATTTTCTCACCTTGACAGCCTATGTGAAGAATACATAACCAACAGTGACACATCAGAAATGGAGAGTTGATGGTAAATGGAATAGAAAAATGGTGAAGGAAAAATAGAAATATGTGAACAGAAAGCACAAGGGCATTAAAGAAATTAATGGCTCAGAAAGAATACTGCAGCAAAACCTTAGTCACTTAAAGAGTTCATCATCCACCAATTAGCGGGTTTAAAAAATTTATTAAAGGCAGGGGAGTCATGATGAAAACTACCAAGAATATAAAGCTATACAGAAGAAAAAGCCTCCTCCAATTTAAATACAATACTTTTTGATGTCCACTTTATAATGCTAATCTCAGAGGCAACTCAGAGATTAGTATTTAAGAACATAAGAATGGGCATACTAGGTCTGACCAAGGGTCCATCTAGCCCACTATCCTGTCTTCTGACAGTGGCCAGTTGTCAGACGCTTCAGAGGGAATGAACAGAACAGGGTAATTATCAAGTGATCCATCCCGTCATCCAGTCCCAGCTTCAGGAAGTCAGAAGTTTGGGGCACCTGGGAAATGGGGTTGCATTCTTGACTATCTTGGCTAATAGCAATTGATGGACCTATCCTCCATGAACTGATCTAATTCTTTTTTAAAGCCAGTTATACTTTTGGCCTTCACAACATCCCCTGGCAACGAGTTCCATAGGCTGACTGTGTGTTGTGTGAAGAAGTACTTCCTTTTGTTTTAAACCTGCTGCCTATTAATTTCTTTGGGTGACCCCTAGTTCTTGTGTTATGTGAAAGGGTAAATAACAATTCCCTATTCACTTTCTCCACACCATGCATGCTTCCATAGACCTCTACCATAACCTGCCTTTCATAGTCTCTTTCTAAGACGAATAGTCCCAGTCTTTTTAATGTCTCCTCATTTGGAAGCTGTTCCATGCTCCTAATCATTTTTGTTGCCCTCTGTACTTTTTCCAATTCTAATATATCATTTTTGAGATGGGGCAACCTAAACTGCAGAGTCCTAAGCCCAAACACACAGGTACAGTACCAGGGATTTATATAGTGGCATTATGATATTTTCTGTTTTATTATCTTTCCTAATGGTTCCTAACATTCTGTTAGTTTTTTTTTGACTGCCACTGACCATTGAGCAGTTATTTTCAGAGAATTCTCCACAATGACTTGAGTGGTAACAGCTAATTTAGATCCCACCATTTTGTATTTATAGTTGGGATTATATTTTCCATTATGCATTATTTTGCACTTAACAACACTGAATTTCATCTGCCATTTTGTTGCCCAGTCACCCAGTTTTGTGAGGTCGCTTTGTAACTCTTCTCAGTCAGCTTTGCACTTAACTATCTTGAGCAATTTTGTATCATCTGCAAATTTTGACACCTTACTGTTTACCCCTTTTCCAGATCATTTATGCATATATTATACAGCACAGGTCCCAGCACAGATCCTTAGGGGACCCCACTACTTACCACTTTTCACTGTGAAAACTGATAATTTATCCCCAGCCTTTGTTTCCTATCTTTTAACCAGTTACTGATATATGAAAGGAACTTCCCTCTTATCCAATGACTGCTTACTTTGCTTAAGAGCCTTTGGTGAGGAACCCTGTCAAAAGGTTTTGGGGAAGACCAAGTATATTATATCCACTGAATCACCCTTGTTCTCATGCTCTCTGACACCCTCAATAAATTCTAATACATTGGTGAGGCATGATTTCCCTTTACAAAAGCCATGGTCACTCTTCCTCAACATATTGTGTTCATCTATGTGTCTGGTAATTCTGTTCCTTACTATAGCTTCAACCAATTTGCCTGGTACTGAAGTTAGGCTTAATGGCCTGTAATTGCGCGGGTTGCCTATGGATACATTTTAAAAAACAGGAATTGCATTAGCTATCCTCTAGTCATCTGGTACAGAGGCTGATTTACACAATAGGTTATGTGCCACAGTTAGTAGTTCTGCAATTTCATATTTTAGTTCCCTCAGAACTCTTGGTAAATACCATCTGAACCTGGTAACTTACTACAGTTAAATTGATCAATTTGTTCCAAAACCTCCTCCACTGACGCCTCAGTCTGATACAGTTCCTCAGATCTTTCAACTAAAAAGAATGGCTCAGGTGTGGGGATTTCCCCCGCATCCTCTGCAGTGAAGACCTATGCAAAAGAATTCATATAGCTTCTCTGCAACAGCCTTCTCTTCCTTGCGTGCTCCTTTAGCACCTTGATTGTCTGCTGATTGTTTGGCAAGCTTCCTGCTTCTGACATACTTAAAAAATGTTTCCTGTTAGTTTTTGTGTCTTTTGCTGTTTGCTCTATCAAGTCTTCTCTGGCCTGTCTAATTATACTTTTACATTTGACTTACCAGAGTTTATACTCTCTTCCTCAGTAGGATTTGACTTTCAATTTTTAAAGGATGTCTTTTTGCCTCTAACCACCTCTTTTACTCTGTTTAGCCATGGTGACATTTTTTGGTCCTGTTACTTTTTTTATTATTTGGGGTATAACTTCAGTTTATTTCTCTCCTCCAATAGTTCTCCAGCTTTGTCATTCTGCAAACTGCTGTGTAAGAGACAGATGCTCTCACAGACCATTATTTTCTACTAAACATCTGGTCTCTCCTTTGCTTGATTCTCATGATGTTGCATATTGTGCTACCAGGAAAGACCTTGCGTAGCGCAACTCAAGAGCCACTGCTCTACTCAGAGTCCCTTGGGCCCATGAAGGGAGGGGGAATCAAGATGGTCTTCCACTGTCTCAGGGGATGAAGAAGATACATATAGTTGTGCCGAGAAGCCCAGCAATTTTCAGCCCATCAAAGTTAATAGGATTTTGCCTTCTGACAAGGATCACTTTTCTAACAATTTGTTATGTATATGAAATTAAAGCATGAACATGGAGATTCATCATTCATCCAGCAAATATGCAATAACAAAGTAATTTAAAAACTGGCACGTTTAAGATACTACATTCTATCTTCTCCTCTTATGGCTTACAGCACAATAACACCATTTCTGGCTGGAGGAGTCTATCCCCGAGGCCCAAATTCTGCGAACAGATATACACATCCAGCCCCACTGGATAGCAACCCCGGGTTAACTCCTAGCAAATAGCAAATCTATTCTAAATCTTATTTAACATCCTCATGTTTGGGTAAGCCACTCAACCTCATCAGAGACACTACATACCTGGTGATCCTGAGAAGCCAACTGCTCCCCTGGGACCTGGTTCTCCTTTAATGCCAAATGGACCTCCAGGACCAGGAGGTCCTCGCAATCCACCAATACCTGGAAACCCTGGATTGCCCGGTTGGCCTTTAAAACCTGGTGAGCCAGGCCTTCCGTCAACACCTGAGAGTGAGAGGTGGGATGTTACTTCCCAGGTGAGAATAAAGTTACCTGTTTTTAAAACTTGTATAAATCATCTCAGAATTACACTAGATGCTCAGGGAAACTTAGTAAACACAGAACTACAAACAGCTTAGAGGAACTGATGAACTGGCCTCAAGAAGATACTAGAAAGTAACATTTTTTTGGAAAGAAACAGTTCCAGATTCCAGGAAACCAGCAGCAAGGGCGCTCACCCGTCTGTCCAGGAAATCCAGGTTCTCCAATAAGCCCTTTATTTCCTGGGAATCCAGGTCTGCCAGGCTCACCCAGGGCTCCTCTTTCAGCACCAAACACTTCACCTGGAGCTCCTTTTACCCCTGACAAGCCAGGAGCTCCCATCTTTCCAGGGAAACCATCTGTTCCATCAAGTCCAGGAAGTCCTTGTGGTCCCTGATCTCCACGAGGCCCAGGAAAGCCTTAAAGAAAAACCCAGCCAATAATACACAGCAGAAAATACACAGCAGGAAGGAAACAATATCCATATGAATTAAAATGTCTAACAAATGCACTTTTTTTGTTTCATACAGAAAAAATGTATTTTGAAAACAACCATTTTTTGGTTTTGAATGTTTAATAAAGGGGTGGAAAAGGACAAAAAGAAGGGAAACTAAATGGAAAACCTTTGGTTTTCTAAACAAGTTTTTTTCATTTTAAATGAAATGAAGGTTTTAGAGCATTTTGACGTTATAAATGCACACACACTAGCGATCTCTACTGCTTTACAAGTACTGGTTTTACCAGATGGATGTATTGCCTACAACAAAGGCATTACTTACAGTCTGACTACAACCATCTGAGTCTATAAACGGTGTCTCACTAGTAAGGGCAAGTCGCAAATGTTGCAGCTGCACTTGTTCACCCAGTCACTTCATCCTACACTGCAATGCCTCATGAGTGGATATCACCCAAAAGCCCTTGCATTCCCAACGACAGCTTTTGGCACGATGGGGTAGATGATTCAGGAGTCCTAGAACACACTGGTACCACAAAGGCTGGAAAGCATGGTGTGAAAGGACACCATCGAGAGTGTTGCTAAACTGCTGTAAGGATAAAACAACTGAGGATTTTCATGTCAGCAGCAGTGTTCCCTCTAGTTTTTCCCACCCATGTGCGGAATGAATTTTTTTATGTGCACCAGTAGGGAGGTGATGTATCACACATCACCTCCATATTGGTGCACATAACGAAATTCATGTGCTGGGGGTGGGGCCGAGGGGTTTGGAGTGTGGGAGGAGGGCTCAGGGCTGGGGCAGAGGATTGGGATGCAAGGGGGGGGTGCAGGCTCTGGGGTGCGGCTGGGGATGAGGAATTTGGGGTGCAGGCTGCCTGGGGGCTACGTGCTGGGGCCAGCAGGGAGAGGTGCCTCTCTCTACCTTGGCAGGTCCATGCTGGGAGAGACGCATCTTTCCCTGCTGCAGCCCTGAGCCCTTGCCCGGGCTTAATAGGCAGCTGTGCGGCTGTGCAGCTTAGAGGGAACTTAGGTCAGCAGTGCTTCTGCAATGATTTCCTCACTTAGGCCAGGTCTCCTCAGGAACAAACAGACAGAAGGAAAAAACACTTTAAAAATCCTGCCTTGTGACTTTTCTGCTGTTCTGCATGGTGTATTACTCTGTATGTTTGACTGCAAACATCACAAAAATCACAGAACTTAAAAAGCATTTCAAATGTTGTATGTTGATTACCATACCCATAGCCACACCGCCAAGTGACTGGGATAGCCATGCAGATGCCACACCCATTTTACATTAAAAATCAGTGGTTCCCAAACTGTATCCCACAAAACACTTGAGCTCAATGGTCACATGTTGCTGGCTCTCCTCCTTAGTCGTAGCTACTACATCACATTAAGAACATAAGAACGGCCATGCTGGGTCAGACCAAAGGTCCATCTAGCCCAGTATCCTGTCTGCTGACAGTGGCCAATGCCAGGTGCTTCAGAGGGAATGAACAGAACAGGTAATCATCAAGTGATCCATCTGACGTCGCCCTTTCCCAGCTTCTGGCAAACAGAGGTTAAGAACATCATCCCTGCCCATCCTGGCTAATAGCCATTGATGGACCTATCCTCAATGAATTTATCTAGTTCTTTTTTGAACCCTGTTATGGTCTTGGCCTTTG